TCCCTTTTGCTTTCCTCATCGTGGAGGCCTTTGTCATTTTGTTAAAGCTTTCAAACTTAGTTTGCCATATCTGGTTCTACAGGTTAGCAAGGAACAATATCAACGTGCTAAGAGTACTATGAAGCTTACCAGTAATAGCATTCGGCCAAGATCTCTTACTAAGATTTTAGGTGACATCAATGGGCGTGCTCAACCATTTGAAGCATTTGAAGAAGAAGAAAAAAAGAAGATGCATGACTACTGGTTAGAATTTTCCTTTTATTAATGTCGACATTCTAAACCTTTTTGGCATCATGCCATCTCATTTGATGTTGATCATCCAGGTTGCAATTGGCAAATAAACATGTCCCAGAAAGTTTTGCTAACTGGAGAAAGAGACAATTGGGGAGACAGCAATTAACACAAACCTTAAGTCTAGAAATGGGACGAAAGCTGAAGCATAGGAAGGTTTGTTGCCTTTTCTTCTTTAAAATTTTCTCCTGTTAGTGGTGCAACTCCAAGCCATGGAATGTAATTTTCTTGGGCTTTTTCTGTCTCTTGTAAATATCTCGGACAGTTTTTTGACTTGTTATTTGGTAGGCTATCCTTGACGAGGAGGAAGTGGATTTCCATGATACGCTACCAGAGCTAGCAGCAGATGATAGCAAAGAAGAAGCCACGATGATGGTTAATGGAGAAGCGGGCCATGAAATGGCTATGGCTATAGAGGTTGGTTTTCATGCCCTTCTTTGTTTCGTTTGCTCGTGTGATGGTACAAAATCAATTTTTTTAACATCGTACAGAAATTTGAGTACTTAGTATTTTGTTATGATACAATTTTAATAGATTCACTTGCCCCCAACCCCTCAAAAAAAGAAAAAAAAACAGGAAAATGGAATAGATGTTTAAGTTCATCCACTTAACTATGGTTTTTTGTATTAGGGTGAGAAGGGAGAGAGTGATTGCTTAATGGAGAAGCAAATGCATAATGATATAGAAAATATCAAGGATTCTGAGAATTCCACCCACATTTTCATTCAGGATCATTGTCAACAGCAGATTTCTTCGCTTATGGAAAGACCTCAGTTCAACCCTGTGGTTGAGTCTCTGAACCTGGGTTATATTCAAAATCAACAGTGTGATATCTCTCAGGTTAAATCCATGGACATGGAATCTCATGGCCATAATTCAATTGCAGAAACAAATGAAAATCAAATAATTGTATCAGGGTGCCCCAGAAATCTGAACCAAGTGGGTGGTAGCCAGAGGGATCCTCTCCCATCTGTTAGTGATGTTTGGGCGGCAGTTAACATTTGTGATTCCTATTATCCATCCACTTCTGAAAATTACAAATATGCTTCTGCCAATGAGATGTCACTTGGGCATTTTCAGTTTATAAAGGAGCAACCAGTGAGAATGATTGATCTGGAAACAAACATGCAGGATAAGAAGGATATGTTGTACAAACAACCTGATGACATGTCTTTCTTCGGTTCATACCCTACTCAAGACCGAGATGAACGAATACAATCTCTCTTCAAGGGTCAGGGTTGTTCACCATACCCTCAAGAGCAGAAAAAACCGCGGTTAAATATTCAACCAGTAGCCAATCTAATGATGGAGGCTGCTCCATTGTCCAGGCATTTCAGGGAACAGACTCATCTATCTCTTCCTCTGGATCAGAGGCAGAATAGACTAGACTATCTTTACATGCATCAGAACCTTCAGGCAACTTTGTATTCTGATGGAGATCAGTATACTTTCCCAAGGCAGGAGCACTTGCCCATCAATGTTCATGATTGTGTGGCTGTTAATACTGTATGCATGTCAGCCCCATCTCAATCCCATTTGAATGGAGCATTGATGTCAGCCCCATCTCAATCCCATCTGAATGGAGCATTGATGTCAGCCCCATCTCAATCTCATTTTAATGGAGCATTGAGTCAGAATCGGTATCCAGGTGAGAGTGGGGGCCGTGGAGGATCATCTACCTATGAAGGTGCCATTGGTTTGAACCACAGCATTAGCAGCGTTGGCAAGTCAGAACAGAGCCTACACAGTATCGTGAGTGAGTGTAAGGAACTTAAACGTAGTGCCACTAATGATTCAATGCAACGATTTATCCAGTCTGAAGACTGCGGTGGGATGGGTGGGGGGATACCCTCAAACAGCATCATGTTGCAACGCTCACCTAATCCACTTCACTACTTGAGTGGCTATGAGGCTTCTGCTGGCCTTAAGATCAATAACCTTGGATGGACAGGAACCCCACAGCAGAGTTTTGGATTACCGTACGTGGGTAAACCGTTCTTAAAATCTTGGAATTACTAAGGATCTCCTACCCGTTTGGACAAGTTTATTACTGGTTTCTGCTCCTCAAGCATACACCTCGAGTTTTTAACATTTTTTGTTTCATAAAAAAGCTGGTTGTGGGTTTTTTGTCGTTAGTGAAAGCTCCAGATCTGGCAAATTGTACATACAGAGCCAAACTGATGCCATGTATATAAGTAGATTTTTACAGGGATCAAGGAATCTCTGTTGTGACAGAAGGCGAATTTTGATTTTGATGCTCACCGGCTTTCGTGGTTTTTCTCATTTTTTCAGTAAGAATATTATAATTTTCTAATGCTTTTGTTGTACAGATTACACTAGATAAAAGAATAGGGTTGGAGATGATCCGGTTCGATTCTGTTCAGTTCCGTACCTAATTAAATTTTTTAACGGATTCCTAATGGTCAACGATTGGTGGTCGTGGTTGGAGGTCGCGACTTTGATGGGCATTGGAGAGGGGAAGTCAGACTCGGCAATAGGCTTTTCGATTTGGGCATGTAGACGTGGGTTTTCAATTTATCAAATGATCTGGGGTCAGTGATTCATTGGTTACCGAATGAAAGTGTAAAATTGAAAAGAAAATGATAAAAACTTAAAAAGGCCTAGATCTTAGGCTAAGAATGAAATTAATAATATGACAAAAAAATTAAATCAAAAAATTGAATTTAGAAATTGGGTTGGGCTGAGTTAGCTAGGCATGGACTTGACTTGGGAGTTAGAACATTGATCACTAAATTAGTTAATTTGCTAACTTGTTTAGAAAAAAATAAAAAAATTAATTAATTCAATGTAAAAAATATTAAAAAATATCTAAATTTGGTTCTTCGGTTCTGGGTCTAGAACCGAGAACCTAACCAAATCCATCGGTTTTCAATTCAAATATCTGTTCAGGTATTTAATTTATGAAGAACCGTTCGCTTCAGTTCAGCTCGATTAAAGTTCGGTTCGAGAATTTTGTCCAGACCTATAAAAGAATTAAACTTCTGCAAATGAAACTGTAGCAGATGATCGTTACATTATATTGCTGCTTCACTTGAAAAGGTAAAAACACTCTTCCAGCCAATTGTGAATACATATTATGCACAATCATCTACTCATGTTTGACAATCATTATTTTTGAATTTTTTTTCTCCACTCATTTTTAATTCACACAATAAAATATTTTAGATGTAAATTCAAAACTTATTCCTATTTTTCAAATACACACTCCTAAAAATCACTATCCAAACCATTATTTTATGGTTGTCAAACATTGGCCTTATCTAAATTGTGAATTTTTTTGAAGAATGTGCCAAAAATGTCGGACAAATCTTCTAATCATGCGATTTTTGCTTAACGCGTGCTGATTTGCGGTAATGTGCCAAGTAGGGAGACATTCATTTGAGAGTTGATAAATAAGAATATGTTTCTTGCTACCTTGCATTCCCTATTGGATTATCACGCACAGTGGCGGACCCAGCACCTGGCCAGCCCCCGCGGCCGCCCGTGCTGGGTCCGCCAGGAGCTTCAGCTTCTTCAGGTGCCGAATCGCCATCTGCCGCCGCCGCCGGGAAGGAGGGAAGGAATGTAAATAAAAGAAATTAATTTATCCAATATTAAAAAAAAAAATTCGGTTCTTATTCGACTTTTCGATTCTGGGTCTAGAACCGAGAACCTAACCAAATCCATCGGTTTTCAATTCAAATATCTGTTCAGGTATTTAATTTATGAAGAACCGTTCGCTTCAGTTCAGCTCGATTAAAGTTCGGTTCGAGAATTTTGTCCAGACCTATAAAAGAATTAAACTTCTGCAAATGAAACTGTAGCAGATGATCGTTACATTATATTGCTGCTTCACTTGAAAAGGTAAAAACACTCTTCCAGCCAATTGTGAATACATATTATGCACAATCATCTACTCATGTTTGACAATCATTATTTTTGAATTTTTTTTCTCCACTCATTTTTAATTCACACAATAAAATATTTTAGATGTAAATTCAAAACTTATTCCTATTTTTCAAATACACACTCCTAAAAATCACTATCCAAACCATTATTTTATGGTTGTCAAACATTGGGCTTATCCAAATTGTGAATTTTTTTGAAGAATGTGCCAAAAATGTCGGACAAATCTTCTAATCATGCGTTTTTTGCTTAACGCGTGCTGCCTTGATTTGCGGTAATGTGCCAAGTAGGGAGACATTCATTTGAGAGTTGATAAATAAGAATATGTTTCTTGCTACCTTGCATTCCCTATTGGATTATCACGCAAGCAGAACTCTATACTGGCCTCCATAGAAAAGTGAAAGTTCATGATAAGATTTTTCACTTAGAAGGACGACGTATTTTGCAACAAGCCATTCCTCTCCACATTTAGAGTTGTTAGGCTTGTTAGCATGGATTGTTTACATGGGTAGAAACCAATAGGTTCACAAGTTCAGTGTGGTGTCCTTTGGCAATTTCCTGCAAGTGGAGTAATGAATTTTTCTTAATAAAAATTCAGAAACTGAAATCTAATCCTGAAATTTTAGGATCATATCATGAAAAAATATTCTCAAGTGCAGATAATCTCAGCTTAATTTCTTCTTATTCCATAAGTTGAGCACAGGAACGTTCATTGATGGCCTAACAATGGTGAAGGATGCCTCCTATCATTCATCAAGAGTTCTAACTTCTTCAAATGCTCAAGAACCTGCTTCATTGATGGCCTAACAGAAAGGGTTTCCCCGGTGCAACTTGATGCTAGCCTTAACATGGCAACCGAATTCTCCTGGGTCCCAATTCCCAGAATTCAGGAGAAAAGAACTCAGAAAAGCATCAAGTCTTTGATCAGCAACTTGTCCTGGGCCATGCAACAACCGTGAATCCATTCCCATATTAGGAGAAGGATGGATCGAGTGACTGCTGGTCCTGACATCAGTTCCAAGAGAACAAAACCATAGCTATAAACATATGCTTTGTCTGAAACATTACGAGTGGTTGCATATTCAGGAGCCACTTAACCAAATGTGCCAGCAACATCAGATGTGGCATATGTCTACAAGACTTCTAGATGCATAGCCAACCCAAAGTCTGAAAGGTAGGCATTAAGTTCCTCGTCAAGCAGGATGTTGCTAGGCTTTATGTCAGTGGCTATCTTGTAAATGGTTGACCACTGCTTATCCATGCCAGATCTTTGATGTATGAAGGTTTCAAGATTTCCACCCGAAAGGAAGTTGTAGACTAGAAACATTTCATCTTCTCCAACACAATATCCAAAAAGAGTAACCAGGTTCTTGTGTCGGACTCTTCCGATTGTTCTTATCTCTACATCAAAATGCTGGATGCCCTGAAATCTGTAGGGAATTTACTTAACATGCACAGCGGAAAATTAACAATTTTTCAATTCCCACCACGGATCTGCTTTGTGTTTAGATAGAAACTGTGTTGAGAATAATACTTTTGATGAATTCTGCAAACTCTTTTTCCAAAAAGAGTAACTAGGTTCTTGTGTCGGACTCTTCCGATTGTTCTTATCTCTACATCAAAATGCTGGATGCCCTGAAATCTGTAGGGAATTTACTTAACATGCACAGCGGAAAATTAACAATTTTTCAATTCTCACCACGGATCTGCTTTGTGTTTAGATAGAAACTGTGTTGAGAATAATACTTTTGATGAATTCTGCAAACTCTTTCGCTGATTCTCAAACTCCGATGATCACGATCTGCAATCCAAGCTGTCTAATTGTCCAGCCTCCAATGGTGATCCACACAAAGAACAAGAATGACGGCTAGGGTTTTACTTTTCTTGTGCTAGCAAGAATAATGAAAATTCCATGCAATTTACAAACCCTAGCAGCCTATTAATATAAGCCCAAGTGGGTTGGCCCATCTTTAAACTTTACCCGGTCCAATATTTAATTAATCAAATTAATTAAAATCGGTCCATGAATTAATTAATCCAATTAATTAATTCGGGTCTATTAATAAACAA